CAAACATACGGCGCTGCGGTCATGGCGCGCCACAAATCTCTACCTTTCGGCACAGGCCGGCTGCGCCGGGTCGCCCCCCGCAAGGCGACGTGACCCGCGCTGGGATTCAGTCGCCAGCGTGCACGGCTGGGAGAGAATCGGCGCGCTGATTACGACAATCGTGAGGAAGATTCTGCATGTCCCAATCTTTTCGGCATGTCGACGACTTCTTCGCGGCCCTGCGCGCGGCCGAGGCGGGCGCGAGCGCGCGCGCCGGGTGCCGCCATCTCGCGCAGCCGTGCGCGGTGGCGGAACGCGCCCTCGATTGCCTCGCTCGCCTCATTTGGGCGCTCCTCGGGCCATCGGCGCTGGCCGAACATAATATGGAATGCGGCAACCCGCTGGTGATTCTGGGGCTGCGCATCGAGCTGTCGCCAGAAGGAATGCGCGCCGCGCCGTCGGACGACAAAGCAGGAAAATGGATGGGCCGCGTAGCCGAAGCACTTCGCGCCGACAACTTGGCGCCAGGTGCATGTCGCGCCCGTGCGAGCGTGAGTCACCGCGCGCGCCGCCGCGCAGGCGCAGCCCCAGAGCTCGCAGGAGCACTATCCTGGGGCGCGTCCCACCAGTTCAGGAGAGTGGGACGCGCAATGGTGCGCCCGCTCTTCCAGCGCGCGCGCGGGCACGGCAGCAGGCCGAGCGGCAACGTGCGTGATTCGCTCTGCTGGTGGCACGACGCGTTATACAGCCGAACGGCTGAATTGAGGAAGTTCAGGGCGAGCGCCGAGGCGCCGGTCGTGGTGTGGGCCGACGCGCGCGGGTCCCTGCCGCGCCTCGCGGCGGTCGCGCTAATCGACAATCATTTGTTCTTCTGTGTCATGGAGCCATCCGCCGAAATCTTGGGCGCGCGCGCGGTGTGCCGGCGCGCAGGGCGCCCGCGCGCGCCGCGCGGCCGCCGCGGCGCAGGCATTTCTCGCAGAGGGCCGACTTGCATATCGCAGGTCTCGAGATCTTGGCAGCGGCCCTCGGTCTCTGCACCTGGGAATCCAGTCTCAGGGGGCGCGACCTGATCGTCTTCGGCGACACCTGCTGCTGAAGCAATTCTAAGGGGGGGCTGCGCAAGCGCAGCTGATTATCGCCCCCTCGCGCGCGAATCTTGGTCGGTAATCTGGGCGCCCGATATGCGCGTCTTAATCGAGAGAGTGCCGACCGAAGTGAATGTCGCAGACCTGCCGAGCCGCGAGGAAAACGACCTCCCGGCGCGGCTAGGTGCGCGCCGCACGAAGGCGGGCCTCGCAGGGGCATTTGCGAGCCCCGCCCGCCAGCGCGGGTTTCGCTAACCATCTCCGCGCAATCTCACGCTGGCGCGTATAATTCTATGGCGCGTCAGCGGCTGTCGGGCCGCTGCGTTTCATGCGCGGCGGGTCATCATTCTTCTGTGCGACCGAGTCGCGCCCCGCATGCGTTCGGTCGCGCGTGCGAGCGCGCGCGTCGCGCCAAGCGCAGGGCCCGCGCCCCCGGCCCGGACGCGGTGACGTAGTCATGTGTCTACACGACGCTCATGCTCATTACTTTTCTTAGTTCGGTTCAGCCGGCATGCGCGAAGCAGTGGCTCTTTTGGTTGCGAATGACGTCTTGTCGCTGGACGATCTAAGAGAGGCGCCAGACTGCCAGGTCTGGGCCGGCAGCCAGGCGGGCGCGCGCGCGCCGTCAAGACGCGCCCGTATCCTCAGCACAGGCGGCAAGCGTCGCGCGCATGAGACTGGCGCGCGCCGCGCAGCGCTGCGCCCCTTCCGTCGGGGCCGCCGCCGCCCGGCATCCGCGGGGCCGCGCCGAGATGCACGCGCCCGCGAAGTCTGCTGGGCGTTCGCAGCCGCTCGTCCTCTGACGACAGCAGTGACAACATCAGTTCATCGGAGACATCGTCGCCCGCCCCCGCGCCGCCCATGCGCAGCCGGGGGCGCGACAGCGCGGAACGCCTTGTAACGAGGGTGAAAGCGAATGTGCGGCTGTTCGGGAGAATGCAGTCGAACGGACCAGTCGCGGCGGCGCCCGTCGACGCTCGTGGCGCGAGCGCGAGCGCCTGCGCGCGCTGCTGGGCTCGTGCCCACGTTCCCTGGGCACGATGGCAGCGGCGGCGAAGTCGTTGTTTTTTGCCGAGAATCGATTACACCGCTCGGGCGAAGCGCTCGCCCCGGATGTGGACGGACTGCTGGCGTGGTCGAGCGCCTTCAAGTCTGTTGGCACCTTCAGCAACTACGTCAGCGCACTTCGCAGCTTGCGAGGCGCGGGGTTGCCGCGTCAGCGCGCGCATTCGCAATGCGCCTGGCACATCGGTACTTCGGTTGAAGACGAATTGCTTCGCAGCGCGAGTAGTGGGGAGGGCCCGCGCGGCCATCTCGAAGCGCAACCCGCGGGGGCGCCCTGTGAAACGCTATCCATGACACGACGACCTCCTGCATGTCCTGCCCCACGTGGCGGACCCGACATCTCGGGCGCTGTTTCAATTGTGCCTCGCCTTCGTCCTCGGATTTCGGTCGGGGGGCCTGGGGGCCACCGTGCGCTACGCTGACCCTTCACGGCGTTTAATCTTCAGCGGCGACGAACTTCGCGCAAAGGTCGCCCAAGCCGTACTCGCCGTTAGCGGACGCAGTGCCACGTTGCACCTCAGCAGAAGGAAAAACGCGCCGCACCCGTACAAGCTTACGCGTGAATGCTGGTGCACAAAGTGCCATGCGACATGCCCCGTGCACGCGCCCATGGCTGCCCTGGGCAGAGCCCCGACTGGCGCGCGGCCATTTGTCGACCTATACGTCGCGTGTTGTCAGACGGGGCAGCGCAAGCGCGACCCGTCATTGTGCGACAGCTGGGGTCCGCGGCCAGGACCGCGGGCATCCCTCATCCGGAGGAGCTGACCTCGAATCGAAGTGTCTGCGGCGCGGTCACGCAGAGACCGCCCACAGGGCGGGAGGTCGTCTCGGCGACATCCTGAGGGCGGGGGGCTGGTCGTCCTGCGCATTCAAAGAATTTCTGGACCGCCCGGAGCTCTCGCGCTCGGCCACGAGCGAGGCCGTGCCACTCGCATCCGCGGCAGCCGCCCTCGAGGCTCGGCCCTGAGCATGCCGCGTTTCCGCGCGTGCGCAGCTGCCGCCGTGCGGTCCGGCGTCGTCGGTAGCAGCGATCGCGCGCGCTGCCCCCTTGCCGCGCGCCGCGGTGGTTTCGTCTCATGCCCGAACGTTGCTCCCTCGCCGCGCGCCGCGGTGGTTTCGTCTACCACGCACGCGGCGCTTCGCCGCGGTGGGCCCAGCCCAGTTGGGCTCTGCCACGATGAGGCGCTCGCGAGGGGGCGCGTCGCACCCGTCGAAGGGGCGTGGCGCGCCTGGGCGCTTGTCACCATCAGGATTGCGTTTCCTTCCCCTCTGAGCTCTTCTCTTTGCCTCCATGCTCCGCGCTGTTGACCGTCTGGTTGTTCCCGCCCTCTGGGCCTCTCGCGTTTCGGCCAGGCGACGTTGCGGTGCGTCGTCGCGCGCGCCCGCCGGAACATCAGGCACCTCTCTTGAAAGCGCAGAGCAGGAGGCCGCCAGTGGCCAGCTGTTCAGGAGCGCTTGGCTTGGCAGTCCTGGCCCTAGTTGCCACTGCGATGGAGCTATGTGGCATCGTGTTGAGATCGCCGTGCCCCATCGCAGGTCTCGCGTGCGGGAGGGGATCCACGCGCGGCGGATCTCATGCCGGGTTGAGCTCCCGGAGGGCGTCTCATTATTTGTACTGGGCTGCTGTGGCTGCGATGTCGACGTCGGTCCCCCGCACCGCAGCAGCGTGTCCCACCGCGGCCGCGGCAGCTCGGGCGACCCACCAGCGCGTCGCCGCGCGCGCCTCCAGTGAGCAAAATATGTTGTGTGTGTGTGTGTGTGCGTGTGTGTGTGTGTTGTGTGTGCTTGCGCAGGCAGTTGCCCGTAAGGATGGGTCGAGTGACAGACCGGTTGACATAGGAGGGTGATCGATTGTATCTTCAGCTGCATCCGGCATTTCCGCCATCGTGCCAGCGCAGCATTCTGGGTGGCAGCCGTTCGAGAAGGCAAGGGGGGCTGCTGGCTGGGGGCCTCGTGGTGCGGAAGGCTCGAATTCTTGGTTCGTGTTCCCATTCTTGGGACGTTTTCGGGGCCGTCTTGGGGCCCTCTTGGGCAGTCTTGGGCGCCTCTTGGGCTGTCTTGGCGCCCTCTTGGGCAGGCCTGAAGCTCTCGTGTGGGCTTCTTGAGCCGTCTCGGGAGTCTTGGTTGCCTGTCGGGCCGCCTTGGAACACTTGCAAAACATTGGAAAAACTTCGAGAAGTCAATGATGTTGCCTCTCGGGGTCCTCTCGGGGGCCTCGTGGGGGCCCCTTTGGGCCCTTTCGGGGCCTCCTGAGCCTTCTTGGGGCGGAAAACTCGAATTGTCGATTCTTGTTCACCCTCCTGGGCCCTTTTTTGGGCTCTTTGGGGCATTATTGGGCGCCTCGTGGGCCGTCATGAAGTCCTCTTGGGCCGTCTTGGGGCCTCCTGGGGGCCTCTTGGGCCTTCTTGGGGCAGTCCTGGTGGCCTTTTGGGTCGTCTTGGGACGTCGGGGGCTCGAAAAGGCGAGAACCCGAAACACCTTGAACAAGCTTAGGGCCAGCCGTGATTTTCACATCTCGAGGCCCTCTTTGGAAGGCTCTTGGGGCTCTCTTTGGACGCCTCGACGGCTTCGTGGGCTGTCTTGAAGCAATCTTGGCAGTCGTGAGGCCAAATTGGCCCGACTTGGAGCGATAGTTGGGCGTCTTGGAGGCCTCCCGAGAGGCAGGCGGCCCCTTAGAAAATTACAGAGACCCTGCCAGACAGCACCTGGCATTATAGCATGCACCAACGTGCCATGGACGTGCCATGGGGCACGATGGCGGATACAGAGCATGGGAGCATGGGTCGTCAGTTTTCTGAGAGAGAAGACAGTGAGGAGAGGGCGTGGATCGATCGTGCAGCGTCCTGCGTAGCTTTCTAAGCTGGTGTGCAGGTGGATGTGCGAAGGCTTCCCGTGCATCGCGAGCAGCAGGGAGAGGACACCCGCGGAGCCCGTTTGCAGCCCAGCCGTCCCAACATATACAACCCGTCTCGTAGTTCGTTCCATATCTGCACGCCACGTTAATTTCATGCTTTCCCGTCCCCTTGCCCCCCCCCCCCGTCCCCCGCGTTCTGCATAGATGTTTCACCATCATGTTTACCGCGCGGCGACTTCGCACCACTTTGCAGTGCCCCTTATGCACCCCGAGCCCAGTTCTCCACCTTTCAAGACGCCCACAGGATCGCCCTCTATAGCGTCCGTCTCTGGACCTGTACGTTCCCAGTCGGCATCGATCGTTTTTTGACGTGGGAGTTTTACCCCCCCACCCAAGCCAACTCCCCCAGTCGTCCGACAAAATCTCGATCTCCAATAAGTCCCTCGACTTGGGTTGTCCTCTTCTAGCGACGACCCTGGATTTACGAGGTGTCTCTTTCCCAGCCCCCCAGTTGATTTGGCAGATCCCCTTTACCGATTCTGGATTGCAGTGGATGACCATGCCTTCTGTCGCATCCCTGGACAGTGGGAGCCTTTGCTTTGGCGGGCCAGCCCTGGATCCCGATATCGACATGTTCTTCAATGCTGGTTGGTTTGGGGAGGAGGGGAACCTGCATCCATCGATGCTGGGTAAGTGTGCACCACCCTCTCCCGCCCGCCCAAGCTGGCGGGCGGAGGTGAGCCCTCCAGCGGGTAGGTCCAGGAGGGACTGAACCCATGGCGGATTGCTAGATGGTCCTGAAAGCATGGGATCGGGGTCCTGAGCAGGACCCTCGCGAACGTTGCTTACAGGGTCATGGGAGTGCGACGCACGTGTTAAAAAAGGCAAGAGCCGTCCGTCTCGCGCCTGGGTCTGCACCAGGATGATCTGTACTCGGCGCGGGCGGGAATCAGCGAATCTGACCGCCTCGTCAAGATAGGAGTCTATGCGCACCCCCGCTCTCTTTTTTGTGAAACAGCAGTATGCCGAGCAGGATTCCTCGGTCGAGCAGGGGTCTGGCTCATCTAAGACACCGTGACACATTCATCCAAACTCGGACTCCCTGATATTGAGAGGGTCCGCAGCAAAGTGCGAGCCATGCCCTCGTCCCTTGTCGCTCGAGCTCGTGCCCGAACTGGCAATACGTTTATGTCTTGGGTGTGCAGAGTCACGCGCCGTCCGTTGTGTCCAATTCCGCCACGTGCATCCCACGACTGCCTTCGAGCGCGGTGAGGACTCGCTGCTGCGACAAACAGTTTCCTGGCAACGGGGTCCCCAAGGTGGCACGTACGGCCAGCGGCACCCACGTCCTGTATGTGGGAGGGGGGTGTGCGTTGTCTGGCGCGCACTGCGTGGAGGTTCGAGGCCCTCCGCAGTCAATGCCTTGCATGTGCGCGCCCTGAGGGACTCGGACATAGATATGCCGAACGGGCGTAGGTGTGCTCCGAGCTAGCAAGGATACGTCCACTAGAGAGGTGTTTGGGCGGATTGTGGGACTGTCGAAGTTCCTGGGGTCCTTGTCCAGCGGTTCGGGCAGCCGGCGATTGCCCGAAGAGGTATTTTTGTTCATTTGCTGGCAGAGTCCTTTGTGGCTCTGGGACTCGCCCATTCTCAAGGAAGGTCCTTCGAGGGGGGAGGGGCATGAAGATGATTACATCGTGTCAAGATTGGGTTGGAGTAGGTGGGGTCGGGAAATTGTATAGCATCGCCGATGCTTCGGAGATGCTGGGCGATCTTTTCCATCCCGACGTCGCCGATGCATTGTACGGAGGCCCTGGATCTCTCGTCCCGTTCCCCGGGGGCTGGCTTTTCATCTTGAGCAGCTCTTTGAAGGTCTTGGGCCCAGAATCCACCTGTCCGAAAACGACGAGAGATCTGCCATGCCCACTTTTGTGCCTGCCGGGATCCATGGAGACACCCAACGCCCTTCGGTGCCAGGTTTCCGGGGGGGGACAGGGAAACCCTGGCGCCCGCGCGGCGCCCGTTGCGCCAGTGGCAGGATCGCCATCATGCCGGGCTACGGCCTGGTCCCCATCGAGGCGCAGGAACCGGGCCAGCCAGCCCCCGATTTGCACGGCGCCGGCTCGTCGTCGTCGTCGTCCTCCTCCTCCTCCACCCCCTCCCTCCTGCTCCCTCCTGCACTCTCCTGCTGCTCCTGGCAGGTCGTGTGGCCAGGAGCGCACGCCCTGAGCGATGTGCGCCCAGGTGCCAGGGAGGCAGCGCTGATCCTCGGCCTTTACGCCTTTTCGCCCCCCTCCTCGCCTCGACTTCGGCAGCGATGAGAAGACGACGGTGCGCTCCCATGGCGGAACCGAGGGACGTATTGCCACCGTGAGGGAGGCGACGCCCATGCATCCACCTCACAGCCTGCTTATCTCCCCTTCCGTTCAACGCTGTTTGGAGGGGACCTGAGGTGTTGTGGTGCCGCGGGGGGGGGCTTCGGTCTCATCAAGCCACTGCAGTGCCAGCGTGGGTTGCGTCTCCCTTCTGCCCTCCCCTCCCCAAACCCCCTTGGCACGTAGCGCTTGGTCTAAAGGCACTCCGCCCATCCTTCCTCCCGTCCCTCTGCTCATCCCTTCTGCCTCTCCCTCCCCCTCTCCCTTCTCTCCACATGCTGCGACTCTACCTTGACACCGTCATACCCACCATGATGTACGGCGCAGAGACAAGTATCCTAACGGATCCTCTCAAACAACAGCTAAGCTGCACACAGCGACGGATGATCAGGGGCATCATCGGAACATCGAGAAGGCGCACGGCGATTCCCAGGTCAACGCACCCCACCCCGACGACGGACAACCATAACGACCACGACCCCAGTAGCGGCCACCCCGACGACCCGAGCGACCACGATGCATCCAGCAACCCGCTTAATTACCCCGTCAGAGGGGCCCACCGCAAGTGAAGGCACTAGCGACACCCCTGTGTCTACACACAAACAAAGGACGAACACGAGCTGTGGTTTGACTTTCCCGCCGAGAGCTGCGGAGATAACGAGCATGCGCGACATCCCTGATATAGAGCAGATAGACGGGTCAAGAGTCTTGCGCTGGGCCACGCACGTAGCAAACCACCCACCGAACCGATGGACGCACCGAACATTGAACTGGAGCCCTTCTCTCGACACGGAACAGCAGGGTCGTGGGCAGCACGGTGGCCAACAAAGGCGGTGGGACGACGACATGCAGAAGATCCCCCAGAGTTTACAACCGACAACCAGCGACGACGCCACACAGAGTAACATTAAGGAAGCCACTCGTCCACGGCGATATATCCACCACGACAGCAACGATGTAAGATGGTTGGCGGCGCAACGGGCACGACGTGATGGGATTCATTTGAAAGCAGTTTCCGCGCGTGCACCAGCTGACCGTGCAAATTTTCCACCGCTAGCAGCAACAGCAGCGGCAGCACTGACGCAGCACACCGACCACCCCACACCACCGACAGCAGCAGCAAAACACCGACAGCACCGACTCAGCCCTGAGCACCAACACCGATCACCACAGACCAACAGCACCACCAGCACCAAGCACCACTGACCACCACCGGCCAACAGCATCGATCACGGCAGACCACCACCAACCACCGGCACAAAGCAACGACCGGCAACACCGATCACAACACACGCACTGACCAACAGCACCAATCACCAGCAGGCAAAACTGGCCACAAGCACGATCCTGAAGCTCGCTTTCCTCATCTTCTATTTGCCCTGGGTAGTGCACTATCTCACCCACGGCTTCTATTTGTGGTGGTTCGTGGCCTAGTCCATTCACTTTTCCTACATGTTCCAGTTTGTCCATGCATTACGACCTGAATTTGTACACCCGCACGCTCTGAGGCTGCGGCCTCCTGCGCCCTCCCTAAAAAGGGCACGGGTACTTCGATTGCCTGGTACCAGCGCCGCTCCGATTCGCTCCGCTTCTTCCACCCTTCCATAACATCACCCTCCCGCACCCCTCCTCCTATGACGGCGAAAGCCAAGGTGCACGTCGTATCGGCTATGAACACCCACACTCACACGTGCACTCGCACATACCTTTCGGGGCGCTCCCCAGCGCGCGCACTCCCAGACATCATACGCCCTTGGATTGCGCTGGAGCCCAACTGTCTGAGGCCTTTTGAGCGGGTGCTGAGAGGAATGGGTGGGGGTTCGAGCGCGTGGTCCCATCCGAAATTCTTGGGGCCATGGTGCGGCGCGGTGGCCTAAGCCTGGTAGATACCAAGGTGTGTTTTCTTGGCATCGTGGCCGATTGCCACCCGGCTGGGAGCTCGGAGTTCCGCCACGGGTCCAGTGCCTGGTTCTCCTGGCACGGGATGGGCGGGCCACCCAGTGATCCGAGGCTTTCTAACAACTCACATCTGCCTTGTCATGTGCGAGGGCCCTTCCCCTGTGAATGTCGGCCCCGGATTGACAGTGCTACGTCGGTCATGCCGAGCTGCGCCACTGCGCACTCGGCAAGCTTCGACTCTGCAGGGCGCATGAAATGCTAGGGACTGGTTTGGTGAGTCTGGCCCCCATCCAATACTTCTAGTGTGCGCTTCTTTTATATGTCACCTCCGTCAATTATTTCGTCTTCCTGTCTCTGCCTTTTGTGCACCCTGCTGCGACTTGGGTTCGCCGTTGTAAAACCGTGCGCCCTCACCTCCCGAACCCCCCTCTCCTTGGCCCGCGATGGCACGGACCCGCTGTGTCCTCGACGCGGAGGGGCCAGGTGACGAGGGGTGCCGACTCTTTCGGCACCCAGCAAACCGCCCGACACGGACAGTCCGCGACGGGCATTTTTGGTTTGCCCCACGGTCTCCTCTTTCCCTCCCCCCCTTCCTCCTCCCCTCCAGGGAGGTTCTGCGCAGTTTCGCCTGGACCTCACGTCAACCGGCTGTGCCGGAGGCGGCCGAGTGAGATTACAACCCGAACGTGGGCCCAGGCGCGCAGTCAATGCTTGGCTGCTGGAGCAGCCACCTCGACATTATCAAAGCGCCGCCCCGAGGTTCCAGAGAGGCCTGGGGGCAACCGCGAAGTCCAAGAGGACGCAAGGAGGGACCCAAAAACTCGGCCTGAGGACCTCCAGAGGGCTCCCCGGAGCGACAAGGATTTTGGAATGTGTTCCGTTCGTTTTTTCAAATTTCCCAGAGGGGGTGTCCTAAGGATTTGTCATTGTGTTTCTATCGTGCATGCTTGTGGATTTCCCACATTGAGTGTCCCATGCTGTGCCTGCATCATCGGGGCCGCGCCCTCTTATTCACGACGCTTCGCGTTCACCGCCCGCACCGCAGTGCTGACAGCGAAGTCAAAGTCAGCAGCAGCATCCCTACACTCACCCGGATGCCGACAGTCCTGGCTCAGGTGGCCAATCCAAACAGCGTGTACACATTGTCACAGTTGCTCCTGACGGCTGCCGGCTGCGACGACCCAGGCCAGATCGGCAGCACCATCCCCAGGGAACGTCCCGTTGACGACAGGTTCGGCACTGGTGCCAGTAGGTCTGGGTCTTATTCTGCCATTTGCGACAGCTGCAGCGGGGAGCCAGTCAAGTACACGCGGAAGTCAGGCCAGCCCGCGCCCAGCTCTTTCGCATGGGAGCCCAACGCTGACCTGGGATACGATGACCGATGCGGCCTCCCGGAATGGGACCGCTGGTTGGAGTGCTGGACCGACGCCTCCTGGAATGCGTCCTGGCATTGCCGGATCTGCCTCGTGCACATCGGGGACATCGCACCTAGCGTCCTGGACAGGGATTCGGTGCGCATGTATCCCCCCGCGGTAACGAAGAGGGTCCCGAGACCCAGACCCAATGCCGACGGCAGCCTACGCGACGAGCTTGGCCATTTGCGGGCGGTGGCAGGGCAGGACGACTTGACGCCGCTCGGGCCTCTCTGCCCTGTCCGGTCGGACGTTCGCCGGTGCGAGAACATCTTCCGCATCCTGCCATCATTCCCACCACCTGCGCGCCCCCCCTGAGCCACCGTGATGTCGACGCCTACCTCGCAGCAGCGAGTGGTTAGCGCGGGACGGGAATGGCCTCCCCCCTGGCATTGGCAAGGCGCGCTCGCTGCTTGGATCCAGCATTCGACGACGCCTGGATCGCTCTCTCCTCCCAGGAGGGCCCCAAACCGGACGGGTTTAGTGACGGCGCCTGGGGGCGCAAATTGAGATCCGTTCGCTCTGCTCCGACACGCTCGCCGAGGACGGAACCCCGCCCGGCGTCTCCTGGGCCGGCAAGAGGCGGGGGGCCGCGAGCCTGGTGCGTCGCTTCGCCCGAGAGCCCTCGCTAGGACAGTCCTGGAAGCTCTACGCCAAGAGGGGCGCCCCGCTCAAGGGCACCAACCCCGCTCACCATGGTGCTAGCACCCGTGTTGACTGGCTTGCCAGCCTCGAATCTGATATGCTCACGGGCGACATCCTCTCATATCGAGAAATAGGCGGAAGCGACTCAGCTCGCGCGACTACGCCGTCGGGCGAGGCCACGCCCGTGCAGGCTACCCACCCACCGCCCGGCGCGCAGGCCGTAGCCGAAGAAGATGGGGCCACGGGCGCAGCGTTTGGTGACCGAGGGTTTTTCCCACCCTTCCAACCCTAATGGGGGGGCGGAGATGCTGGCCAAGCCGCGGGCCCAGACCCCGACTGGGGGCCCGAAGATGCGCCGCAGGCTAGCCCGAAGACCCGAATGGACGACGAACCCGGCCCCTCTCCTACCGACGAGGAGGTCAGCGCCAACCCCTTGCTTGCGCCGTGACCCTGAGTGCTGCCGCGCCGGCGAGCAGTGACAGCGCCGCACCCCTGGACCAAGGCGGAACGCCAGATGTGCGGCACGACCGCGACACGGCTGACATGCGCAAGCCACCGGCGCCACCCGACCCGCGGGCGAAACACGCGGCAGCGCTCGCCCAGCACGGGGGACTTCGGGCGAGCGCGGAAGGGCACAGGACGGGGCACGACCAAGGATGGAGCCCTCGCGACCAAGTCCAGCGGCACGCGGACGCGACCGGAGCCCCAACGGCAGCAGGTGGATGAATTGCGGCTCCAAGTGGAACGATGACG